GAGCACCGTTTAAGCACCGGCACCGTTTCAAAAGTACCGGTTTGGCACCGGTATCGGATAAAACCTAAACGATACCCATCCCTACCTTTAACGTTTGCAACAGTTAAGATGTGTAGCTGAAAAAGAGTTCAGTTCAGTTCAGAGTTGCCAGTCCGTTGTTCTTGGATTTTTAACATGAGTCAGTCACAAGGAAGCCTGCGAGGCAGTTACAATGACATTTCTCTAATTAGACTCCCTGCCCGGAGATTTATCCTGATCTCCTACAGAGGGCTAGCTGGCACACAAGAGTAATAAATGCCTGAGAGACTTACTGTCAAAGACAGTAGGTTATAAACAGCTGGAGTGAGCGAGCACAGAAGAGCAACTGTTTCACATATTACAACCTGCCACATTTGTCTCACTCCACAGGCTCTGTGAGCATTATTGTTTTCTTTCCCCTCTCCATGGCGAGGGAATGCCAGCGGAGGATTTTAATGAAGGAAATTGCTATTGAATGGCATCATATAAATAGGTGATTTTCTTATAACGAGGTTGGCTTACCTGCTTAATGGGTACCAGAACATTTGGTAACGCTAGTGCATCAGTTAAGATTACAAAGCAGTTTTTTTTCTTTTTTATGTGCTAGCTTGAACACTGTACTGCTTGGCAGAACAGATGGTATTGTCTATTGTGTGGGTTGATTATTTTAGACAAAAAACTTGAAGCAGTTTTCTTTGCTCTCCCGGCCACAAAGCCTCTGGCAGCATAACTCATCTGTACACTGAAACTGTGTGGTATCATCTTATAAACCCTGCTTTGACATTTCTCATGCAGCATTAGCAGACGGACGCAGCTCTTTATGAAAATGGAGGATTTCTTTTGGCGGCAGCATCTCTCAGATCTGGCATTACCTTATGGCATTAAGGGCAGTGGTATGTTGACCTTGCATTTTACATTAATCCCCACTCTTCCCACTCACTTTTAGCAAATTTGTCTCATTTTGACTGGGACCAGGACTGGGGATTAAATAGATGACATCTTAAACTGTTAATACAGCTGAAACCCAGGACTGTAGCTTTTTCACCAATTCAAGCTCTGTGTTCGGCGTTAACTTTTGAACTTCTCCATTTCTCACTTTTCATCCCAGAGCTGCTGCTATTGAAAGTGCTTGCTGTAACTGCAAATTATCACGTGCCAGCCAAGATCGAAAAGTAAGTTTGAGCACACTTTAGCAAACAGTAGTAAAGCGAATTAGTTTAACGTTGCAATCATGGATAACGATTTGCTTTTTTAGACCATCTTACAATTTATTTATTTACAAGAATATTTAGAATAATTAGAAAAAATACACAATCTGCACTTTTCTAATTATTCTAAATATTCTTAACTATTTAAACATTTTTCAGTATCCTGCTCTGTTTACCAATTCAAGCCGTCATGTTCAAAAAGAGTAGGCCAAGATCGGTGCCAACAAATACACACTATGCAGTCCTGTGAAAAACACCCTATATTCAACAGCTTGTGGAGCCACCTTTAGCAGCAATAACTTGAAATCTGTCACATCATTGTGGAGGAATTTTGGTCCATTTTTCTTTACAACATGGAGGTTTGCAGGCACTGGTTTTTGCCAAATGTAGCACTCTGCATTATGGCCAAACATCTCCACGTTGTTCTTGTCTGTCCATAGGATTGTTCCAGAGCTCCTGTGGTTGTTTAAATGCAGCTTTGCTGCCACGTTCTTTTTAGAAAGACGAGGCCTTCTCCTGGCAAACGTTCCAAACAAGCCACACTTGTTCCATCTTTTTTTAATTGTGCTGTCACGAACTTTAACGCTTAATATGCTAACTGTGGCCTTGTACTTGATTTTTAACATGGTTGCAAAGAGTTCTGTGAAAACGCTCTCTATAACTGTTCCCTATAACAATCAATGTCCTCGCGTGCTGTTCCAGTAGTGATGATAGGTTTTTTCCTAGAGAGCCATTTTGTTTGTAACTGAACAAAACATGTTCATTTTAAGACTGATGAGAAACCTTGATAAAGACAAATTTGCCACATTTAATTCATAATGTGAACCTGTGTTGTTTTTTCTCCACAGCCTTGAATGCAGAACTTGTGTAGTCATAGGTAATGGCTTTGCCATTAAAAACAGCTCCCTGGGAAGCATCATCAATAAATACGATGTGGTCATTCGGTAAGCAATAATCATACTCCACACAACAGTGAAATCATTTTTCCTTATTATGCTATTAAAATGAAATGATATGCTCTACCGTGCAATAATAGTGGGGTTAAAGTATGTTTGAAAGTGTTTGCCATATATTTAAATCTAGAGATGCAACGATACCAAATTTTTCAAACCGATACGATACCGATACTTGGATCTGAGTACTTGCCGATACAGAGTACAAAAACCGATACTTCTACCACACACACACACACACACACACACACAAATGCAATGAATTGGAAGACAGGTTTTATTTTATTCTCTGCCAATAATAAATAATATCTTAATAAAAATGACCACAAAAAAATTTCAAGTGAAAAATAAGCACTTCTGTTAAATTATTGCAGAGTCTCCACATGTAATTTAACAGAATATCACTGAACTATTGGCACTGTCTCTAGGGCATAGGTGTCAAACTCTGGCCCGTGGGCCAAATTTGGCCCGCAGCCTAATTACATTTGGCCCGCGAAGCCATACCAAATTACTATTAGAGCTGGCCTACTGGTATTATACAGCTAATATATATATTGTTTAGTATTAAGCTTTGCTTGTTCCATATTCAGTTTTCCAGCAAAACTTATTTGAGTCCATAAGAAAAGATTCATTCTTATATCTGGAGGAAGATTTTTTTTTCAATAAATATTAATGTTAGCCCGCGACTTTGTTCCAGTTTTGAATTTTGGCCCACTGTGTATTTGAGTTTGACACCCCTGCTCTAGGGGATGTCCCCCTAGTGGCCAATCTAAAAAACTACAACAAAAATGACAAGCCACCCTCTGATTTATGAAATAAGCTAGTATCGGTTCATGGTATCGGTTAACTTTTACGAGTATGAGTACACGCACATTTTACAGTATCGGCCCCGATACCCGATACCAGTATCGGTATCGGTGCATCACTATTTAAATCCAATTATTTAGATGGATGCTTGGATTAAAAATGTTCAAAGTTGCAAACAATAAAGTCAGTATATGGCTTAAATCTCTTTAAGCCAGAAGCTCAGACTTCAGACTGCTCTAAATAGTTGATTGCTGACAGTCTTCAGCCCCTCAGCCTGAAAGGCTTGGGGTAGTGTCATCACCTCGCCTGGTGGACAGCCAGATTGGGTGGATACCCAAGTTTGCGAGCGAATTAAGGGATGTAGGACTTTGAAATATAGGTGCATGTACATGCAGGTTGAGGGATAGAGCTGTTGGTGATGTCATTAGTGAGGTCGTCTACACTTTTTGTTGTAGGGATTGAAACCCAACCAACCTGCTGTTCTGCCCTTCTGTGTATCAAGCACAGCCAATCAGAAAAAATCATGTCCAAGGTTGATTTAAAAGGAGGGCAGTTAAACTTCCACGTTTCAAGGCAGTTAGGACTCATTGCTATTGCATTTTAAAAAAGAGAATGTGTTGATTTCTTTTACCCCCAGCCTCTCTAAATAGGGTTTAATTCACTTAGCTGTAGACTGTATAAGCATGTGACTCTGACACAGAGCCGTCCTCTCAGGCTCAGTTTGGGTCAAATCAGGTTCTTTAAAAGCAGAAAAGAAAGCATTGAGTTTACTCAGGGACAAAGGCATTTAGCAGATCTGACTTTACAGCCTTGGAATGAACGACCGCATTCTGAGTTTTTTTAAGCCTCTTTCAAACAGCCAGAATTAGGCCTGGCAGCAATGCACCCCCCGAACCCCCCTCTTTCCCTCCCCTCACGTCTCTCGCTCTCTTCTAATGATTTTCCAGCCAAGTCAGGTTATTGACACTCAGAATTCAATGCATGCCTGAGATTTTGACGTCATCTGGCTTTTTTCCTGCCATGGAAACACTGCTTGACTTCTTAGAAGCCTGTTGAGAATTAAGTTCTCAAAGTGCTTGCTAATAATTTAATGTTCTCTATCTGTGCTATTGAATTTGTCAACTATAGAGTTATATTGTATTTTTTTGTTAAGTGATGAAACACAGATGTTTTTTTTATTTCACAGAGTTAACAAGGTTTTGAATTTCAGGCTGTGTACAGCGTAGTGTGAGTTAGCCATCCTGTTCTGAGGCAACTTTTTAACTTTTATTAATTTTTTTCCCCCAGCTCTTAATCGTGTGATAGATAATATCTGTCAGTAGACGACATATCTGGGTGCAACTTTACACATACACCAAAATGAATGCTGCTGCAAATATTATTACAAGTTTGGGAAATGTATATTTAACTCAGTTATTGACATGCTTTAAACAAACATTAAGCAAATAAAACAATAGGTTTTATGAATTACTACACTACACAGTGTGAAGAACAGTGCACTTCTTAGACTGTTCGATCCCTGAGCAATACAAATAGCCTAGTGCGCAATAGCTAAAGGCTATGACATTATAGCTAGAAGACTTCTTAGTATTAGTATAATTCATAAGACTGATTGCGGTGTGACATGTTGGTAAATCATGTTTTATTTGCCATCGTCCATTGGCTCACCACAGAAGTGCGTTTTCTCCAGTTTTATTTGTGCTGTACACCGCTGCACCTCATCTTCAAGTTAGCAGAAGTCTCAGTGATTGCATCTCTGCTGAGTAGACCTTGACCAGAAAAAGACTGTTGCAAGTTGTCCTTGTTGCACATTAATGTGTCAGAAACGAAAGAGATGGTCATGGACTATCTGTGCAATAAAGGATGTAGCTGTTGAGTTTGTGCATCAGCATAAAGTTCTGTAGAAAAACATATGCATACTTGAGCTCATTGCACCACCCCTCCCCTGCAGCTGAGCCAGGGACCACAACTCCGCCACATGTACTTATTCAGGTTGTCCGTGTCTAATAGATAAAATTAGTTTATTGATCTGCACCATGTAAGTGTGAAAAATCTGCAAAAACACAAGAAATCAAGAATTGTCACCTTCGGGCTGCCCGTGAGCTTATGTGATTTACAAGAATTGTTACTCCTCCTAGAGTATTATCAGATTTCAGTGAAAATTGCATGCAAAGATCACCTAATGAATCTTTACCTAAACTATGCGTGGGTGGGGAGTGCAGTATTTCACGATCCGCTGAATAATGGTTATTCAATGCTCATTTACATCAATCTTTTTTCTAATTGCAAAAATTGAAATTCTGACTAAAACAGCTCTGAAAATCCTTTTTTAAATTTCTTTACATATTTTATTCCTGCTTCAGGTTGAATGATGCCCCGGTAAGAGGCTATGAGGAAGACGTGGGGAACAAGACCACCATGAGGTTCTTCTACCCTGAGTCAGCCTTCTACAACCCTGGACTGGACAATGAGCCTGACACCCTTATGGTCCTGGTGCCTTTCAAACAGCAAGATCTACGGTGGCTCAAAGAGATCCTCTACAATGAGAAGAGGGTACTGGATGTGTGTGAGAATGCACTCTCCCACATGCAAACACAGATCCCTCTTACGCACACACAGTCATCTCCCTTTCTTTCGTTCTCTCCCCTCTCTGCCTCAACTGAACACACTCTGTTTAGTTTTCAAGCTTGTCTGTCTTGCATATCAGGAACAACTACTTAAGAGGTTCCACTTGAGCAGTGCCAGCACTCTCCAGAGTTAAATGTTGTTTCCATTGCAGGCATCGTTCACTCCGTATCCCACGGCACCTCCGGACTCCTGCTGCTAATAGTTGCAGGGTCATTACCCGCTAATTTGCACATCGATTTAGTGTCCTCCAAACATGAGGGAGATTTACATGCGTCTCTCCTTGCATGCATCCATTCTGCCAAATAAAGGGCAATTCGTGGCCGTTTTCACTCTCAGTCTGTAAACACCCCGTCTGTTTTTTTGTCTTTGCCAGGTCAGGAAAGGCTTTTGGAAGCCCCCTCCTCAAATTTGGTTGGGTGACGCCAGTAAAGTTAGAGTGCTGGACCCACACTTCTTGCATCAGACTGCAGTCAAGCTGCTAAAGATCAATTTTCACCCCAAGAGCAAACAGGTGAGTAATCACTTTCACTTAAGTGTTTTTTGTTTGGTTTTTTTTGCAGTCGTGACTATGCGTGATCTCAATTTGTGGTAGTAGAAGTTTCAGTGCAGATCCAAACCAAAGTGTCTTTATTCCTTACTCAAATCAGTCCCATTTCTTACTTAATCACAAGTTTTTGCTCTGTAATTGTGGTGGGGATGTTGCAATACCAAGAATGTCTGGCATCCTCGGCAGCAGACTTTTCTTCCTCTTCTGCGCTCTTTTTCCTATGCCTCTGTTCTTCTTTTCTGGCCTTTCACTGCTTCCCACATGAATGTTAACAAGGGTGGATGGAGCCTCTGCTGATTAGGCACAGCTCCTCAGAATGATCCGTCATGACCTTTGTGGTAAACAGTTTATTGTAAGAGGCGTTTCTGCTGAAATCTAGTTGGTGATTACTGTGAATTTGGTGACAATTAGCTTCTGCTTGGCGTCCTGGTATCTCACTGTAAGATAAGTGTCTCATGTCTTCAACGATAAATCGGTGGTTCCCTGGGAAATAATTGGCTTATTTCATTTTTGGGGGTAAGAAAAGCCAAAATATTGTTTTCTTATTGTATGTCTTTAAAGGTAAAAGGCAGTTCCCAGTGTGCTTATCTGTGATGCGGATTATTGCTTTTGTACTGTGGCCTTCACTAACATTTAACTCGATTTTAATGTTTAGTTGGTTTTCACTGAGCATATCCTTTGACATTTTTAAGTAGAAGGCAAATGAAACGCAAGATGGCTGAATCAAAACACGAAAAGTAAAAGTGAAAGCATTGCTCTAAACCCATAAACTCAAGGAAAAACAGCAGTTGCGCAATGAAGATCCAGAGTGCATGACATTTCTTTTTTTCCCCTGCTGATCAGATTTTGAAACACCACGGGATCCCTCTTGGACTGAAACTGGTGTATTACAGCATTTTTTATTGGCCCATAGCATCTCATCTGCCAAGTGTGGCTTTCTGTGTGTTTGGTGGGGATCGTCGTCGATGTGGATCTTCAGCCAAGTTTTGTTTTGGTTCTGCTTGTTCCCACTGAGACCGTTTTGTCAAAGACTTGACAATGGGTGTAACCATTTCAGATTGCGGTATAAACACAGTTGGTTCGCTGCAAGACGAGAGTGAGGAGCGGGAAGGCAGAGATCCTGCAGGCGATCAGCGGGCTCACTCGACAGGAGCTCTGTACCATCTGTACAGCTTGTACGGGAATGGCTGGGGGGCAGCAGTAGGAGGGTTGGGATGAAGTGGTAGGAGAACTGGGGCCTGCAGGCAGTAAAGTTTTCAAGTAACACCTGAATTCTGTTTATTCGGGGCTGTAAGCATGACATTTTTTACACATTGCTGAACACGATGGAAATGTGCATCTGGCACGCCCTCACTCTGTGTTGTTGTTGGATACACTTTGTCTCATTTTGGAACTCCTGTGTTTTGGCATCATCAGTTTCCCTCAGGTTACCGATTATGCTCTGTGCAGTGGCAAAAACTCTGTTTCAGATTCTTGACAAGGCTACTCAAACAAATTGTTATCTCTGTTGCTATAACCGACTGCACATTTGTTTAGACACACCTTTTGCAAAAAATTAACCCTGAGGGCACATAAAACTCACCGACTCACACAAATGAACCCTTACTGTCATCTACATGCTGGTGTGTTGTGTGTAGGCTTTCTTTTAAACATCTCCTGAAAAAGGCAGAAGTAGAGTTATTAGCATACATTGAGTAGCTGTGCTGATTATTCACTGAGTACCGGATGCCAGCCTGACCTGACCTGCAAAACTATAAAAAAAACACACACTTGAGCCCTGCTGTACCTCTGAATAAACTTTTAAAATAGCACTTCCCCTGGGGTTTCACACTTCAACATGGGTTTCAAAAAACTCCACTGAGACAACGTCCACACCAGCCCGGATAAATTTGAAAACGGCGTTTTCATCTGCAAACGCTCCGAGTCCACACTAGCGTTTTCAGTCGTTTTCACAGAGTTGTGCATTCACATTGAAACGGCCAAAAACGCTTACGTTCCAGTACTGTGGATGCATGAAACGCAAGACGATTTGATCTGCCTCATTTCTGTCTGCTGCTTATTTACTTTCGCGGCAAAATGTTGAGGAAAAGCACAGAATTTTTTAAATGGACTAACAATGAGTTGGAGTTGTTGCTGTGAGTAACACAAAAGTACAAAGTTGCAAAAGCGATTATCTGGAGCATGTACAAACTGATATTAATCTTTAATAGGGCTGTCAAAATTGAGCGCAAACAAAACAACTGCTGTGTAATGCCCTCCGCTATTTTAGTTTAATTGTTCACATGACTGCATCACATGACTAAAATGTGTCATCGATTTTGAAAAGGCTCCGGGTTCGCTGTCCACACTGCTACGCGAAAACGTTTTCAAATGTATCCACTTTGGAGAGCGTTTTCAAAAAGCTGCGTTGTCAACGAGCGAAAACGCAGCTCAGTGTGGACGGGAGG